CCCGCTGCCCTGAAGCCCCAATGCTCAGGCCCAGACGTTCAACAGTTGCTTCATGGCGACCCTGCTGGCCCTTCAGCCAGAGAGCAGACGCCAGGGCTGGCAGTTTGAGCCCCAGTTCTGTTCACCACGGGGACGTCCAGCCCTGGCGGGGCTTGGGTGCACCTCGGGACTGGGCTGTAAAGTGAAGTGCCTAGGCCTGTAGGTTCTGACACCTGGTGACTCAGAAGGCCACCAGGCCACGAGACGGTCCCACACTTCAGGACAGAGGATTCCCAGAGAGGATGCCAGTAATAACCCGGAAACCCCAAGGTTCCAAGACAGAGCGTTTGGGTTTTCAGACCCAAAGAGCCTCCCAAGCGTGAAGCATCCGTTCTCCAGCCTAACGGAAACGAAGAGGCCCTGGGAACGATCATGCTATTCTTTGTTTATATTTTAAAAGATAGAGGTCTCACTTTGTTGCCCAGGCTGGTCTCGAACTCCTGGGCTCAGGCAGCCCTCCTGCCTCGGCCTCCTAAAGTGCTGGGATGACAGGCGTGAGCCACCACGCCTGGCAAGTCATCCTGTTTTGTCTCACATGAGGCAGATGCTTTGATGCTGCCCCAGGAGGAGTCTCAGTGTATTCCATGGTACTTGGGTTCCCTGTTCCTGTCCCGCTAGGAGTCTACCCAGCACCACTCTCAGCCTCAGTCCAGGCTGCCTCCCAATGGCCAGGTAGCCGGCCACTGTCTGCCCAAGGCACTGTCCCTTTCCTGGGAAGGGGGACCCAGGGCTTCTGAGGCATGTTGTCCTAGAGAGGAAAGCTGTGGGCTCAGACCCCAGTACTGGTGCTCTCTGAGGAAAGGGTGGCTGGAATACTCGACCCCGGGCTTTCCCGCTCCCCACCTAGGACCGGGACAAAGGATCCATATGACTCCCACAATCCCCAGGCCTGCAGAGGCCCCGCCATGATGGGCAGCAGCAGCCTTATCCATAAGGCGCTCACAGCACGTCGGCCGTACGATGCCGAGTTCCAAGGACAGTGCACCTCGGGCTAAGCCTGCACTGGGCTTCATCCTGAGGCTGGTGCACAACTTCTTGGAAGTGAAGAGTTTCTCTGACCAGGGATCTAGGTTAGAAGGTGACAGACAAGAGCACTTCCTTCTGGCTGTGTGGTATGCGCGCGTGTATCTGTAGTGAACGGTGTTTGTTTTCCAAAAAAAAGGCTGTGTGCTTCTGTGGACCTGGGCTGGCTCCTCAGAACTCTTTGGGGCTCAAGACTTGGTTGGCTTTAAAAAAAAGAATCCTGGTCAGGTGGCTCACACCTGTAATCCCAGCACTTAAGGGGGGACTGAGGAGAGAGGATTGCCTGAGCCCAGGAGTTCAAGACCAGCCTGGGCAACATGGCAAGACCTCGTCTCTATAATAAATCAAAAAATTAGCTGGGTGTGGTGGCGTGTACCTGTAGTCCCAGCTACTCAGGAGGCTGAAATGGAAGGATTGCCTAAGCCCAGCAGGTCGAGGCTGCGGTGGCCATGATCGTGCCACTGCCCTCCAGCCTGGACAAAAGAGGGAGACTCTGACTCAAAAAGAAAAATAATAATAATTGTTTGCCAATTTGTCAGTTGGGGGAAAAAAAGACTTGGTTGGCTCCAGGACCTAGCGCCAAGGGGCCAGAGGTTGCAGGAACAGACTCCCTAGGAGGAGAGACTCAACCCTTCTGGCTGCCCATTCTTGGCAATGAACCTGGAGAGGCAGTGCTGGTTGCCAGGTGCGGCCCCTGTCAGGCCTGCCTCAGCTCCCCCCTCCCAGAGTCTCGACCACCTTGGCCAGCGCAGAACAAGCCACGGCCTCTGAGAGCTTCAGCCTCCCTGCAGAGCCAGCCTTGTTTGGCTCCCTCAGTTCTGTAAGCGCGAATCAGGCACTGGCTGCGCCCACTCGTGTGCATTTAAAAGTGTCCTAGGGGACCCAAAACCAGGAATTTCTTTATTAAAATGGTATATTTATTTTCACATGTTTAAACTCCAGTCCCGTTTAAAGTCCTCTCCGTTGGATGCAATACACCTGTCAAGACGCATTTTCCACCGCTCAGGATAGTTTTTGAATCCGTCCATTTGGATGCCTTTTGGTGCTTCTGCCGTTTTTGTTTCTCTCTCCTCTTCGACATTAGCAAAACGATTCCCTTGGAGGACTTTTTTCACCCAGGAGAACAAAAACAAGTCGCTCTGGGAGAGATCAGGTGAATAGGG